GCTGTCTATAGGTTTGTCTAATCTGGACATTTTATATAAATGACACCATATAATGAGTCATTTTTTATAACTGGCTTTTTTTTTTTTTTACTTAGCAAAATGTTTAAGTTTCATCCAAATTGTAGATGAACTTATCAGTACTTCCTTTTTTAAACAGTTATAACTTTTATTTATTCTTTCATATAAAATTTACCATTTTAACCATTTTCAGTGTATAGTTTAGTGGCATGAATTACATTCACAGGCTTGTGCAAGCATCACCACCACTATTTGTTTCTAAAATAGAAACTTTCTACCCATTAAGCAATAACTCCCCTTTTTTCTTTCCCCCTGCTATTGGTAACCTCTAATCTACTTTCTGTCTATATGAGTTTGCCTATTCTGGGTACTTCATATAGAAATTGTATAATATTTGCCCTTTTGTGTCTAGCTGCTTTCATTTAGCATAATGTCTTCAAGGTTTATGCATTTGTACCAATATCATAACTTCATTTCTTTTTATGGCAGATAAGTATTCTGCTGTACGTATAGATAGTCAGCCTTCCATATCTGTGGATTTTGCATCCATGGATTTAGCCAGCTGTGGACTGAAAATATTTATAAAGAGAAGTAATATAATGATAGTACAAATTTTAAAAATATACTATTCAACTATTTACATAGCATTTACATTATATTAGTTATTAAAAGTAATCTAGAGATGATTTAAAGTATATAGGAGAATGTGGCAGGTTATATGCAAATGCTACATCATATTGTATAGGAGATTTGAGCATCCACGTCCAGGGGATTCTGGAACCAATCCCCTGCTAATAACAAGGGATGACTATATCACATTTTGTTTATCCATTTGTCCTTTGATGGACACTTGGATTGTTTCTACCCTTTGTCTATTGTGAATGATGCTTCAATGAAAATTAGTATGCTGTGGGTGCCAAAAAAATGTGTACACATTTTAAGTGATGCTATCTGTTTACTATTTTTGAAGCTGAATTGAATTATGGTAGCAATGTGCAGTATGCCATTCGCTCAAAAGATGATGTTAATCAAGTGAAAGCTAGCCTCATCATGCAACAGGCAGGACAGTCAAAGAAAATGACAGAAGCATGGTTGTCATCAAGGAGTGCAAGACCATTTTGAAGTGGTATTTGAAATTCGAGAATGTTGTGGAAATACAATGACGATGGAGGAGTGAGTATGCAACAGAACCTCCAACATGCCTAACAATTGCATGTATTCATGATAAGTCTGAGATGCATGGTACTGTGTATGATGTGCACAAGGGAACATCTGGGAGGCCTCACACAGCAACAAGTCTTGCAATAGTTCACCATAATCAGAAGTGTCTGGATACTATGGTAACCATTTTGAGCATCTCTTGTAATTGCAGAAGTTAAATGTGACTTGTATTCATCTTTTTTTATTGGTATATATTGAATATTACAATTTTAATACAGTTTTTCCTTTCTTAAAATGTGTGTACTTTTTTTGGCACCCTCTGTATAAGTATCTGTTCACGTCTCTGCTTTTAGTTACTTTGGATATATACCTAGTAAATTGCTGTGTCATATGATAAGTCTATGTTTAGCTTTTTGAGGTATCACCACACTGTTTTTTGCAGTGCCCACACCATTTTTCATTCCCATCAGCAATCTTTACGTTCCAATTTTATTACATCCTCGCCAACACATGTTATTTTATATGACCTTTTGATTATGGCCATCCTAGTGGTTGTGAAGTGGTATTTCATTGTGGTTTTCATTTTCCTGATAGCTAATGATATTGAGCATTTTTTCATGTACTTATTGGTTGTTTGTATATCTTCCCTGGAGAAATGTCTGCTAAGATCCTTTGCCCATTTTTTAACTTGGTTATTTGTCTTTTTATTATCAGATTGTTAAAAATTCTTTCTGTATTCTAGATACAAGTCCCTTATCAGATATATGATTTGCCTGGGAGTTACAACTAAATTGGAGCCACTTTAAATTCTTCTTTTTAGGTTTTCTAGGCCATCCCACCAGTGTAAATTTAAACTGCCTACCTATTTAGGGCTGGCTTATGGTTACAAAATCTTGGGAGGGCTTTATTTTTCTCTCACCCAATTCCAAGGTCAAGACAGCAATTTCCTGTTCAGCAGAGTAGGATTTGTTATCTTTCCAAACTATACACTTAGTGTGTAGCTCTTGGGGGAGGGTTCCAGTTTTCTAATATATTCTCTGCATAATTTTCACGTTGGGTGAGTCCTAAGCTTTATCTCTTGCCTAACATATGCCTGTCTCCCTTTGTAGCTATTAAAGCCAGAAGTTTAGTTTCTAAGCTTTAGCAAAAATGTTGGGAAGAGAGCTTGCTCAATATTTAATGTTCCTACTTTCATTTTGTTTTGGGGAGCTGCTGATTCTTTGTTTTCATGCCAGCTCAGAAATGTGCTTAAACAGCTGGATATAAAAACATTGTTAGGTTGCAAGAAAGCAGACAGGGTCATTCAGGGTATCTAATATACAATGTTTCTGTAGATGGTAATCAGGACATTGGAATTGAGAAGTTCCATAAACTCTAAGTCCAAGGTGATTGATTGATATGGACATTAAATTCTTGTGGCATGATGTTGGGACTAGGGTTGAAGAAGAAAACTGCATCAAAGTTCTCTCAGTGAGAGAACTTTGGAAAGGTACTAGAAGATTTGTAGTGAATTGATAGGGTAGAAGTAAGATAGAGGTAGTAAGGTTGGGTGAACTGAGTCTTGGTGGAGGCCTTTTTCAATGTAAGGGTAAAACAATGGTGACTTTGAAGTGTTGATAGAAAGTAAGGATACTTATCCCTTCTGCTTGCCCTGTGTTGCACAGCATTATTGAATGATAAGTTTTATGTGATTGATTCTCACTTACTTTGACATCTTTCTTAACCTCATATTGTTTCTGTTCATAAACTGACCAAATTGCAACAAAAATGTTTTCTGTTGTTTAGGCCTACTTTGTAAAGAATGGGAAATAAGAAGATCTACTTTTTTTTTTTCTTCTAATAGCTCAATAGACTGAGTTCTTTCAGTGAGGGAACATAGAATATAAACTTCCTGAGAGCAGGACTTTTTGTCTGTCTTATTCAATAAACATTGTTTTATATTTTTAAAATTTGTCAAAGGAATTGTAGTCTACTTGAGTAGTTTTCATGATCCTGACTAGAGAATTTCTCGTTCAGCTTGGCAGGAGGGAAGAGGGCCTACTGTTTTTCTTTTCTCTCTTTCTTCCTTTTCATTTCTTTCTTTCTTTTTTTGAGACAGGTCTCACTCTGTCACCTAGTCTGGAGTGCAGTGGTGTAATCATCACTCACTGCAGCTTTGAACTTCTAGCTTCAGGTTATCCTTCTGCCTCAGCCTCCTGAATAGCTAGGACTACAGGCATGCACCACCATGCCTGGCTAATTTTTAAAAATCTCCTATGGAGACTGAGTCTGGCTGTGTTGCCTAGGCTAGTCTTGAACTCCTGGCCTCAAATGATCCTCCTGCCTTGGTCTCTCAAAGTGCTGAGATTACAGACATGAGCCACTGTACACAGACTTTTTCCCTGTCATTACAAAAATAAATAATAAAGTATAATGTACATGTACATGCAGAAAATTGCCTGTATTATAAGTAATCAGTTTGATTAATTTTCACTAACTGAGCACATTCATGTAAATGTCATCCAGATCAAGAAACAGGGCCTAATGTTTAAAATCAATACTTCAGAAAAGTCATTTTCATATAATTTTGTGGAAGTCTGAATCTATAGTGACTCAGATGTGGTAGTTAAATATTTGCCAGAAAGGCGATTGTGAAATATTTGATGCATGAGTTTTTCCTCCCTCGATGTGATTAAAGGAGAATGTCAGATTTCCTGTAATGCTGGAGCCTAGGGCAAGTGATTGTGTGCCACTTATTTTTTATTCAACATGATGAATAGTGTTGCTAATAGTTCATATCTTAAGGGTATAAAAACACATTTTTTTCTACTGAAAATTGCTATTCTCTGTGTAGAATGTGGCAGATTTTGCCATAGTATGCATTCTTTCTTTTAAAAAAAGATCCTATATCTAAATTTATACTTAAAAGTATATTTAGATTCTTTCTGAAACCATTTCTAAGTACAGAAAAGGCGATATGGACTATTCTGTATTTCAGACTTTAAAGTTTGGAGTCATGACTACCAAAATGCAAGTGTTTAAAGAAAGTCTGCTTTTGTTGCTTTCTCTCGTACCATTAAATAATTGATTTTTTCACATTTGTATCATCAGGGGAAGGTATCAGTAAACTTTTTCTTAAAGGACCAGGTAGTAAATATTTTATTCATGAGAGCCATACTGTCTCTGCTGGTGTTGTGTAAAAGCAGCTGTAGATAATACATAAATGAATGGGTGTGGCTGTGTTCCAGTAAAACTTTATTTACAAAAACAAGTAGTTTGCTGATTCCTAATCTAGAATAACACCTCAACGAATGGACATTCCAAATGAAATGGTATAGGGGAATTGGTTATTTAGTAATTTAATTAACAAATTTATTGAGTGTGTTCTATTTGCCAAACTGAGGACTAAACTGTTAATTACATTCTTATATGAATACTTGCTAGAATATGAAGCATCATTGAAAATGATAATTTTGAAGACTAAACAACATGGGAAAATGCTTTTAAGTGGAAAATCAGGATTAAAGTTTTAAGTTTGTATCTTAAATATGAACTAATATTGAATGGAATACATGCATTTTTGTTAGGTAGAAGCCTTATGGGCAATTCTTTTCTGTTTTAAAAATTGTCTGCAGTGATTTACATTCCTTCATGTGATACCAATTAAAACTATAGTTTTTTTATCACCACTATGTGGTATGAAAAAGAGAAGCTTTGTAAAACTGTTGTTCAGTTAAGTCCCGAAACCTTTTTACTTAATAAGATTGACATTTGAGGAAAATATGTTGCTGCTGTGTTGAAGATACATTGTCATTTCTTTTAAATTTTTTATATTTTAACAGTGTCCTTATGTCTGCCATTTGTTATATTTGCTTACCAAAAAAGAGAATGGTGAGTATTTTCATTCCAGTTGTATTACATTCACTTTGTAGAATTAGCATTTGCGTTGACCTTTATGAAGTTAAAATAACTATTAGCATTAGTTATATGACAGGACTCATTTTGTGGAAATTGCTTTTTGGTACTTTTATGTAAGGACATTTCCTTAATGGTTTAACTGAACTTGGTGTTTATATTAAATGGTGGTTCAGTTATAACTAGTTTGTTTTTATTATGAACCAAATGATTAGTACCTCTTTTCTTTACCTTTTCTAGTCCAACCATTTCGTGTGCGAAAACTGCTTGATCTTCAAACCAAAATGGTGAGTACCAAGAAGACCCAAGACTGGCCAGTGTACTGTATACAAGGTACTAAGCTAGGCTTAGGGGATACAAAATCAAATGAGTTGTTATTTTCAAGGAACTTATTTTTAGGGGAGCTCAGTCAACACACTGGAAAATTAGACTTGAGGTTAAGGAGGAGTGGTGATATTTGAGAGAAATTTTAAGGAATTTATAGGATTTAAAGAGGCAAAGAAGGGAGAAAAGGACACTCCTACCAGAGGGAACAGCATGAACAAAGACATGTAGATGCCAAAGAGCAAACATTGTTGAGGGAATTGGATTGGTATGGCTGGAACAATATGTTAGGGAGTAGTCAGAAATTGGTTTCTATTTTTGTGGATGTGCTTTAGAAAAGCATTTCAAGACATTATCTTCTGGATACTTCAACGTTAGTATATTCTCTGACTGTTATCTCTTGTCCTTACAGCTCTCTTGCATTGTTATTTTCTCTATACCTGCCAGGTAGCAGAAGCCTGTGACATTTTGGGTATAAAACAATAGGAAATAGTGTGCCCATGCCTAATTGGAGCTTTCATGGCCTACCCAAAGGTATTCACATTGAATGAAAAACACAAACACAGAACACATTCGTGCTTCTCCAGTGTGAGATCTCCCCTTAGTGCAATTCAATAATTGTTCTTGTTTTATAACCTCCTGTTTTAGTTCCATGGGTATAATAGCCTCCTGTTTTAGTTCTCTGAAGATATTGGTAATGTTTTTGTCCAAATTGAATTTTATTTCATATTAATAGAATTGTGAAAAAGATATACATTTTCTCATATTACAGCAAAACATTTCAGTGGAATAAGACAGTTCTTACCATAATATAAGATCTTGCTGATTTGTATTAATGGAAATACAGTATATGTTCAAGTTTAAAAATGACTTATTGGGCTGGGTGTGATGGCTCACACCTATAATCCCAGCACTTTGGGAGGCCAAGGTGAGAGGATTGCCTGAGCTTGTGGTTTCGAGACCAGACTGGGCAACTTGGCAAGACCTCATTTCTATAATGATAATTTTAAAAAAATTAGCCAGGCATGGTGGTGGCCTGTAGTTTCAGCCACTTGGAAGGCTGAGGTGGAAGGATCGCCTGAGCCCAGCAGGTCGAGGCTGCCCAGGAGTGAGCCACTGTCCTCCAGCCTGGGTGACGGTAAGACTCCCAACTAAAAAAAAAAAAAAAAAGATTTATTAGATAATTAACTAAAAATTTAAAACCAGACCAAATATTAAATGTATGGTTTCAGTGTTAACATTCTATAGAGTATATTACTAAATTATTCCATTATCAGATAACACCCATTTATAAAGATATATTCATAACATTGTTTTGATTAGATGAATTTTGGTGAATTTGGACAAGTCCAACAATATCACATCAAGAAGAATCATATATAACCTAACATGCATGGTAGTACAAGGCATAATCAGCATATGTGAGGAAATATATTAGATGTATGAATTTCTGATACCTGCAAAAGCATATATCCTATCCATGCCCTATAACTGCCAATCTATGAAGTAAACAAAAATACAGAAATTGCCTTTCTGGTGGCAGGCATGTTATTATTCTACATACATGAAGCCCTACTGAGAGCAATCTTTAGAACAAGAAAGGGAGAGTTAGGTCTCATCCTAAGGGTTGGTAAGGATGGTTTCTGGGATTTTCTCTCTACCAGGTATGAGCCTGTGTTTATGCATATTGGGCTATAATTTTTTTCTGTTCCCAGCATTGTCTTTGTTTCCTCAGCATTTCTTTTTTAGTTGTTTGGTCTGCCTTTCATGGTAGAGGTTTTTCTCAAATGTCTGGTAAACCTTATTTGTTTATATTTAAGAGTAAAACACTAAAATGGTGATTGGAAACTTGTGTGCATATACAGGACTTGTTCACTGTAGGATCTTGTTATTTCATTTGGGGAGCTTCTCAGATGACTCTGTAAGTTTTCCCAGAGAAGAATTCTCCTGTTTCCTGTCTATGAGGTTGCAAGATTCTTCAGAGAAAGATGAGATGATCAATAGGTGTGTGTGTGTGTGTGTGTGTGTGTGTGTGTGTCTCATATGATCATGGAGGCTGGCAAGCCCAAAATTGTAGAGTGGGCCAGCAGGCTGGAGACCCAGGATAGCCAATGTACTAGTTTGAATTTGACAGCAGTCTGCTGTAAAACTGAGAAGAACTGATATTGCAGATAAAGTCTGAAGGCAGTCTAGTCTGCTGGAGAATTCTTTCTTCCTTCAGGGCCTCTTCTATTCAGACCTTCAATTGACTGAATGAGACCTACTCATATTATGGAAGACAGTAGGCTTTACTCAGTCTGCTGATTTAAATGTTAATCTTATTCAAAACACCCTCACAGAAACACCCAGAATAATGCTTGACCAAATATCTGGGCACTCTGTGGCCTAGCACATCAACACATAAAATTAACTGTCACAAGGTATATACTGGCTACTGGCACTCTGGGACTTAAGCAGTGCAAAATGGTAAGGAATGTTCCTGGTATCCTCCCTCAGCTGTGCCTAGTGTCTGAGTAGTCCAGTAAAGCCCTAATGTTTTGCTAGTTTAATGAAGGAATCTGGTGTTCTAACTGCTTCTTATGTAGACTGTCTTGCAATCCTCCTGTTTTCTATTTATCTTGCAACTCCACTTTTCAGAGTTGTCTGGTTCCCTCAAATTCCTGAGCCTTTCTGGGAGTTCTCAATTGTGAATGCCTTTTCTTTTTTTGAGGCTTTTTCTATTGATGTGTTAGGTTTTATTCTCTTTGTTTTGCTTACTTGGGTACTATTTGCCCACCATCAGTCTAGGTTCCAAAATCTAGTTTAGATTTCTCATTTGCTGTTGTTTCCTCTCTTGTTCTCTTTGAACTTGCGCTTTATATCTTTTTCATTCTTTTTAATGGGACTCTGGAATCGCATACGGGGGGGGGGGGACCCAAAAAAACCTGGAATTTATTTATAAAAAATTGTGTATTTACTGTTACATGTTTAAACTTCAGTAACCTTCAAAGTACTCTCCGTTTAATGCAATACACCTATTGGTATGCTTCCCCTGCTCCAGTTTTTGAATTCATTGATTTTGATACCTTGTAGTGCTTCTGCCGTTTTTTGCTTTACCTCTTCCACATTGGCAAAACATTTTTCTTTGAGGATTTTTTTCATCCAGGAAAACAAAAAAAAAGTTTCTTGGAGCAAGATCAGGTGAATAGGGAGGGTGGGACATGGGGTTCATGCTGTTTTGGGTCTAAACTGCTGAACGCTCAGTGTGGTGTGCGAAGGTGTATTGTCGTGGTGGAAGAACCAGTCATCACTTTGCCTTAACTCAGGACATTTCTTTTGCAAATTGCAACCTTCTCAAAACTTCCAGATAAAAACTTTGGTTGACCATTTGATCCAGAGGAACAAATTCTGAGTTCACTACAAGGGGTCTGCTCTCCAAAAGATAATTCTGTTTTTTTGAGGTCTTCCCTCATATGTTCAACATACCATGTTTAACTGGAAGTCTACCTGGCCTTTTAGTGTTAACTTTTTAGCAAAATGATAGGTTCAGTTAACTAGACAATAAGTTTTAAAGGTCTCTACACTGCTAAATATTTGTTCTGTCAAAAACATTCCAACTCAAAACAAGCACTCTGATACTCATTGATAATGGGTGTACAGAGGTCAGAAGATATTTTCCACACAGATAAACTAGGTCGTTTTGGTTTTGTTTTAATAAATTTAATTTCAAGAAACTTTTATAAAACAGGAACATTGTATTTCTAAGCCTCATTTGCCACCTTACTTTGTACAGTATTCAATTCAACAAAATTTTAGTATAATAAAACAATTTGGTTACTTCCTTAGAACTCATTTTAGTGGTATGCTTTTTCTGTATAGCCAGATATATCAACCACAGGTATCTAGCAGTGATGACTTTTTTCATTGTGAAGTTAATGTTTTTGTTAAGACTTGTTTCAGTTATATCAAAGCTTCTCGATTACTGCATACCAATTGTGATTTCCTAGTTAATTTTCCACACATCATTATAATCAGATATTAATATTTTCTTTGCTCTATTTTCATGGCTTCCCTTTTGGTCTTCTTGATGTTTAGCTCAAGGGCTAGTAAACTTTGAGGTCTGAATATGCTACCAGTGAAAATAAAACTGCTATGCTAGTAAGGATGATTGGTAAGCCTAACATAAGCGTTGAGAAATATTAAGATAAAAATGAAAGAGAAGAAGAGAGAGAACATAAAGAAGAAGTAAAATCAGGGAAAAGATTATCAAAAAGAAGATCATAGGTTAGAGAGTGTTGTTTTATGATGACTGATTTAAATATCTGGTTACTCATTCCTTGAATTTATATAGCATCTTTCCATAGCTGTCTCTCATAGTAAAATTAGGATCTGAATATATGTTTGGTCTCAGTTTATTTTTGTGTTACCTTTTTTCTTCTTGGTGTTTATTTCCTCAGTTTCTTATTGATCACAGATTTGAAAATGGAAAACTCATTTTTTTTCAGGGAATGCAGCCTCACATCCAGGCTTTGTTGTCACTATATAAGTTCTATGCTCCTACTCTGATTTCTGTGTTTTTGCCTGCAAGGAGGAAGGTAAGGGACCAAGAAGAGATGAATCATATTGAGATTGAAATATATTATTTTTGTAAAGTTAATTTACAGATGTGAACTAAAATATTTACAGCCTGCTGTTTTAAGATCTGGTATTGTGGCACTGTTTTCAAGAAGTTTTTTTAGGGATTAGTACTTCATGTTGATCCCATTTGATTATTTAATAGATCCTGATCAGGAAAAAGATACCTTAAATGGATTTGCATGGGTGTAAAAGATTTCATAATTAATATACTTTCAATTAATGAAGAGTTTTAGACTTTATGTTGCTATGTTGCTCCAACTTATGGGCACTTATTCTTTTGTGCCTTACATCCAAATTTAAAGATCTATTTTAAGAATTCAGAGAATCTGTGGAAGACAGCTCTGCTTGCTGTGAGACAAAGAAACCAGGGACCTTCTCCAGAACCTCTGAAGCTGATGTTAGGTCCAGCTAATGTTCGTCCTCTAAAAAGAGTAAGTATCTAAAGCTTCAAATGATTTATGTGGCTTTTAAAAAATTAAATCCAAATAATAACCATTCAGATGTTAGAGGAGACTATAAATATTTAAATACATTTTAATTACCCAGGATTCTGTGCAAATCACATTCGGATTTCATTAACTGAAACACTTAACAGCGACTTTTATATTTATAGTTTATATTCTGTTTAGTCCATTGATTGTTTTATTATATTTCTCCTTTAGAGATGGAGTTCTCACTCAGCTATACCAGTGCTCAATTCCTGTAACTACACTAAAGAAAGTGGAAAAAAAGAAATGAGTCTTTCTGATTTTCTTAGTAGCAATGGATCATTTCCACTAGAACAACTTCAAAGTTTCCCTCAGCTTTTACAGAACATCCATTGTTTAGAGGTATGTGACTGGACCATGTGCTTATTTGCATTTTCTATTTGATCTTCATGGCCTTTATTTTTATTATATATTTCCTTTATGATGATTTCTTTATTTCCTCGACCTACTTTTCAGATATTTACTGTTGACTGGTTATTCTGTCTTTGCAGCTGCCTTCTCAGATGGGCTCTGTGCTAAACAATTCTCTGTTGCTTCACTATATTAACTGTGTCAAGGATGAGCCAGTCTTACTGAGATTCTATTTCTGGTTGAGTCAAACATTGCAAGAAGGTAAGAATTGATATGTAAGTGCATTGGATGAGTGAGGGTGGACCAAGATAGTCTACAAATGGGTTTCTTTTATAAGGGTGCCGAATTTTAGACAAGAGGGGCCATCATATGTTGTAATTATTTTTGTGTAATCATATATTCAGAGCATGAATGCTTACGTTGTTGTAATTTTAAGGCAGTAAGATGGAGGGGTTGTTGTTAAGGAAACACTGCTGGATAGCCACCAAAACTCACTGGGTATCTCCTATCTGACTGTCATGATCCAAGGCCTTTACATCTTTGTATGTTCAGAAACTTGCTGTTAGGCCTTCAGAGTCATTGGATTAATGCTAACCAAACTCAGAAGAGATGAATGTATATGCCAGAATGTCAGTTTGTTATTTTTTTTAATAGAAGTAATTCTTTCTGGTGGATACAATGCTCATGTCTGCCAACTAGAATATTCTCTCTCTGCTATCAGCATATATGGGAACCAAATTAGTCATTAGAAGATTTCTTTTTTTTTTTTTTTGAGTTGGAGTCTCACTCCGTTGCCCAGGATGGAGTGCAGTGGCATGCTTACAGCCACCTCAGCATCAACCTGCTGGACTCTGGCAATCCTTCCGCCTCAGACTTCCAAGTAGCCAGAACTACAGGTGCACACTAAGAAGATTTCTTAATTATAGAATTAAAAGAAAGGTTAGGCCAGGCTCAGTGGCTCATGCCTGTAATCCCTGCACCTTGGGAGGCCGAGGTGGGAGGATTGCTTGAACCCAGGAGTTCGAGACCAGCCTGAGCAATATAGCGAGACTGTCTTTACAAGAAATAAAAAAATCACCCTGGTGTAGTGGCGTGCACCTGTAGTCCTAGCTACTTGGTAGGCTGGGGTGGAAGGATTGCCTGAGCCTAGGAGGTTGAGTTGAGCCATGATTGTACCATTGCACTTCAGCCTAGGGTGACAGAGTGAGACCCTAACTTAAAAAAAGGTCAATACAGAGTCTTTCATCCAGGCCATAGTAAAGCCTGAGCATTTCATTCCTCCAGTGGGGATATAATTCTCTGTATATAGTATTTCTGTTGACTGTGTTGAGTGTTTCTTTCCTAGGTAAACAACTCCTGACTTCAAGTGTTTAAAGTTGGTTTTAGTTGGTTCCAGCTAACTCTCCTTCTACTCAGAGTTTTTCTTTAGATAAGATATGATACAGTTTATTAGATTTCTGCTTACTAAATTCCTACTACCCTTAGATTATATCCAGCTCACTGTAACTGAAGTTTAGGGTATTCTCAAAGTTCTAATTCATACATTTATAGTTTCTTAGATTGCTGTGTGATATAAAGCTAATTATAGTCATTAAATATGAATTTTACCAGTTTATTTTTTCACTATAAGCTTCCCCTTCTATTACTAAGTTGTTGAGCATCTCCACTATCACCTCCATACATCTGTTAAAATCTATAGTGTAGCCGGGCTTGGTGGCTCAGCCTGTAATCCCACGCCTTTGGGATGCTGAGGTGAGTGGATTGCCTGAGCCCGTGGGTTCGAGACCCGCCTGGGCAGAGAGACCTCATCTCTACAATAAATCAAAAAATCAACCAGGCGTGGTAGCGCATGCCTATAATTCCGGCTACTTGGAAGGCTGAGGCGGAAGGATCGCCAGAGCCCAGCAGGTCGAGGCTGCGGTGGCCGGGAGCGGCCACTACATTCCAGTCTGGGCGACAGAGTGAGACTCCAACTCAAAAAAAAAAAAAAAATCTATAGTGTGAGTTGGCTAGGATGTGTGAGACTTATGAGTTTTTAAATTTGTCATTTTAGATAATGATAATTCTGTTTTGTGCAGGTTTTATTGTTGTGCAACCAGATGCTTACATTTACTTTTTCTGTTCTAGCATGTATTTGGTACAAGGTGAATAATTATGAACATGGAGAAGAATTTACCAACTTCCTGGATACTATCATCAGGGCAGAGTGCTTCTTACAAGTAAGATTTTGCTTGCTTCCTACATACTCTTCCACTCATTAGTAAAATTTATTTAGATGTCCATTGAAAACCTTTTTTTTAGTACTTGACATCTTTTGTAAACAATATTTGTTTGATTTGAAACTCATAAATAGAGCCAAGTTGGATTTTTATCTTTACACTGTTGGATTTGAAGAGAGAATATGTTAAATTATGCAAAAAGGGAAAGACTATAGGAGGACAAACTGGAGAGGTAATTAAGTGCATCAAATTAATTGAATTAGCCAGTGAAGTAAATCTAAAAGGGTCACGACTTGTGTTCTTATAATCAACATTTTTTGGGTGCCAAATATGTTCCAGCCAGTGGTCTGTTTGGTCTGGGTAACGCTGAGTTGTATTTTAAGCTGCAAATCAGGTTTCAGTACCATCAAGAAGCCTTTACTCATTACCAATGTGGGTTAGCTCCTTGTTCGCATCTCTTTTTCCACACATGAGCTTCCAGCCAGGTACAAAAACCATGTGTAACTTTTCTTCATGTACAAGTGTTCATGCCTGTAATCCCAGTATTTTGGTGGGGCAAGGTAAGAGGATTGCCTGAGCCCAGGGGTTGGAGTCTAGCCTGGGTAACTTGGTGAGACCTTGTCTCTATAATAAATTAAAAAAATTAGCCGGGTGTGGTGGGGCATGCCTGTAGTTTCAGCTACTTGGAAACCTGAGGTGGAAAGATCGCCTGAGCCCAGCAGGTTGAGGCTGTGGTGGCCATGAGTGTGCCATTGCACTCCAGCCTCAGCGACAGTGAGACTCCAACTAAAAGAGAGAGAGAGAGAGAGAGAGAGAGAGAGAGAGAGAGAGAGATGCTCAATAAATGTTTGTGGAATAAATCTTAAGGATTTGGTATGAAACCATTTAATTAGAAGTTGAGTATGGATGATGATAGTGAAAATAAAGGGCGGAATCTCTAGGTTGACTTTTAGGTTTCCTGCTTGAGAGGATGGAAATCTTTCACTGATAAAAGGAATATAGGAGGAGCAGGTTTGGAAGGAAAGATACATTTGGTTTAAGAGATGCCTGTGGGACATCTAAGAGGTCATACCCAGTAGGCAGTAAGATAATGAGTTTAGAGCTCAGAAATGAGATTTGGGCTAGAAATATAGATTTAGGACTCCTTATGATAAAAGTAGTAGCTTTAGATGTGATATGGAAGAGATTGTTCAGAGAATTTATGTCACGTAGAGAGTCCTAGTACATGCCACTATTTAAGGCTCTGGGTGATAAAGAGAAGCCCAGATCTTCACTCTGGTGGAAATATAAGTAACCTAGACATTTGGACCTCTAAAGATGGAGCTGCCCAGAGTTTGGATTTGGCCTTTGACTGCCAATTCAATTCTAACCCTATTGTATAACATTGTACACAGATTGTTGATTGTTCAAATTACCACATGTAACTCAAAATAATAAATTTTATTTATCTTTTTAAATATTTTATAACTTGACTTTTTACCTTCTTTCCAGTTGATGAAGTTTTACAGTATTTGGAAACTATGTTGATAAGGATGGTAATGTATCCAAACACTAATAGTCTCATCCTTTTTATGAGGAAGTCTGGAACCTAACCTAAGGCTTTTATTATATTGGTGGCAAAAAATTAGTCTAAGAATGAAACAACTAAAGCACAAAATAAACTGGTTGTTTGGAGATTAATTATTACTGAAGAGTTCCATATAAGGTTTTACTATCCACTTGTATTACAGGAGGGGTTTTATTCCTGTGAAGCATTCCTGTATAAGAGCCTTCCTCTCTGGGATGGCCGCTATTGTAGGTCACAGTTCCTTCAGCTTGTGAGCTGGATTCCTTTTAGTAGCTTCTCTGGTATGTATCATGAAAATTTAGAGTCATTTAATGTAATATGAATTTAAAAGGTTTTAAATAATCTTTTTTTTTTTTATTCCTAGAGGTGAAACCACTTCTTTTTGACCATCTAGCACAGCTTTTCTTTACATCAACCATTTATTTCAAGGTAAAAAAAATCAAAAGTTTGTCTAGCTTAGATTTAATAGGAAGTATTATTCTGTTGCCAGTGATACACAATTCCAAACTGACATTATAGCTGTAGTTTTCTAAGAGGATTATCTTGGACTTGGCCTTTGAGGTGCTGTGTCACTCAATTCAAAGTTAATGCATAGAATTTTATGTTTTTAAGATTTTGTCACATACAGTTTTATTGAATATTTCCACTTGTGGCAAATGACAAAGTGAATAAACAAGTGGCGAATGCATATTAATAAAAACAAACTGAGGAGTACTTAGTTTGATTGTTGTGGTTTATATTTTTGTAGATATGCTTATTCAGTTCACAAATTAAAAAAAAATTTTTTTTGATTGGGTGTGATGCTCATGCCTATAATCCTAGCACTTTGGGAGGTGAAGGTGAGAGGATTGCTTAATCCCAGAGGTTGGAGACCAGCCTGGGCAACTTGGTGAGACTGTCTCTACAGCAAATCAAAAAAAATTAGCTGGGCGTGGTGGCACACACCTGTAGTTCCAGCTACTTGGAATGCTGAAGTAGAAGGATCGCCTGAGCCAAGCAGGTCGAGGCTGTGGTAGCTATGAGCATTCCACTGCACACCAGCCTGGGTGACAGAGTGAGATTTGACTCCAAAAAAAAGAAAAAAAAATTTTTTTAAGAGACAAGGTCTTACTCTGTCGCCCAGGCTGGTCTCGAACTCCTGACCTCAAGCAATCCTCTTACCTCAGTCTCCTACAGTGCTGGGATTATAGTCCTGAGCCACTGTGCCCATCCTCATTTCACACATATTTTTTGAGCACCTACTATGTACTAGCCACCCTTCTTGACATGGGGAATATAGTAGTAACCAAAACAAACAAAACTCCCTGTGACATTTATATTGTGTATTTATAATGCAATTACTTTCTGATGATAAAATTGTTCCAATCTTATATGATATAAAATATAATTATTTTGGGGTGGTCTCCAAGAGGCCACTATGGTTTCCAGGAATTCTACCTGAATGATTTTGAGAGCCACTTTCTTATAGAATGGTTATTTCTATTCCAAAAGAGTGACAATGTAAGTAATGTTTCTTTTACAGCTTTTTTTTTCTTTTAGCTTAAATCATTTACTGTTGGCCACATTTACAAGAAAAATATGTTGTCCTGGTTAATGTTTGTCATAATTGAATGACACTTTATTAATTACCTATAACATTAACTTGGATTTGAGGCTTATATTTTGTTTGTTTGTTTGTTTTTTGAGTTGGAGTCCACTCTGTCGCCCAGACTGGAGTGCAGTGGCCTCTACCGGCCACCGCAGCCTCCACCTGCTGGGCTCCAGCGATCATTCCGCCTCAGCCTTCCAAGTAGCTGGAACTACAGGCGTGTGCTACCACGCCAGGCTGATTTTTTGATTTATTGTAGAGATGAGGTCTCGCTGCCCTGGCGGGTCTCGAACCCGCGGGCTCAGGCAATCCACTCACCTCAGCCTCCCAAAGGCGTGGGATTACAGGCTGAGCCACCGAGCCCGGCTGGCTTATTTATATTACTTGTAGCTTACTATCTGACTTATAGCATCATTCACTTAATAATACACACCAATTCTCCCAGCTAATACATTTTTAGGGACTTTATATTGCAGTTTTTTGTGATTCCCTTTTAGTCCTCTAGTTGGGTTATTCTTTACTTCTCTTATTTCACCAATCTAAAGAGTTATTTACATACAAACATTAGATTGAACCATAGGAAATTGCCAATTTTATAGGTCAGAGATGGTTGATAATTAGCAATTTCCTATGGTTCAACCTAATATGTATATACACATTCATCCACACACATATATATTTGAGGGAGGTGGAGAGAGGGAGAGAGAGAGGGAGAGAGGAGGGAAGGGAACACACAGTGGGCCAAGAACAGAACTCAGCAGGATACATAGTATTTAATTCTCAGGCCAAAGGGGAAGAGAGTCTGAAGGAACCTTAAGAAGGAATTGTCAGAGGTATAAAAAGAACCAGGAGAATAACAGTACCAAGGAAACAAAAGGAATATAGGAAATCAAGAAAGAGTAAAGAAACAATGTTGCCAAATAGCCCAGAAGTTCAGAAAGATAAGAACAAAAAAGGTTTCTTTTAGAATTGACAATAGAGGTTTTGGCTCCCTTTGTGAGTAGTTCCAGTGAAATGTGGGGGTAGAAGCCAGGTTGTGTGGGTTGAGAAGTAAATGAAAAGTGAAGAAGTAAGACAGTGAGTAGAGACTGTTTCAAAAAGTTTGACCAAAAAGAAAGGGTAGACATATAGCTATAGTGGGGCTGTGAATCAAGGAAAGTTTTTTCCTTCCGAGAATGAGAGAAGCCTGAGTATGTTTATAGAATAGAGTGGAAGGAGCTAGTTGAGAAGAGGGAGAGGTTGAAAATGAAGGAAAGATGGGGGATAATTGATTGTACAAGTTTCCAGAAAAAACATAAAGGTATTGGATTAAGGCTGGGTAGAGAGATTTACTTGAATGGATGGTTAGGGATTGGGAGGCACCACTTATCCTTTAAGCCTGGAAAGGACATATGGATAGATGGATATATAGGTATATTTGTATAGTTGGAAGAAAGGGTAAGAAATTGGAATGCTTTATGCCTAAAAATGCTAAGTTTCTCAAAATGGGAAGTTTTGTTATAAAGAATAGAAGACTTCAGGAGGCTGTTAGGTGCTTAGGACAGCCACAGAGAAAAATGAGAGAGAGAGAGAGAGAGAGAGAGAGAGAGAGAGAGAGAGAGAGAGAGAGAGAGAGAGAGATTCACCTCCCCAAGGTAGAGGAGGAAGCCAAAGCTAGGAAAAATGATGACCATAGCTCAAGGAGCCATATGGACACACCAGTTTTACAAAACAATGACCTACAAATGCTACATATTTTTATACATGAAAATTATGGTAGTAATTTTTTAATACCTCTCAAATTTTTAGGACAACAAAGAAATTACAGTTGATCCTGAACAACATGGGGGCTATAGATGCTAACTCCAATGCAGTATAAAGAAAAAAAAGTCTATGATTAACTTTCAACACTCCACAAACTGAAAGCCTACTAAAAAGCCTACTGTTCATCAGAAACCTTGCAGATAATACAAACAGCTGATTTATACATATTCTGCATATTATATTATTACACACTATATTTTTATGATAAAGTAAGGTAATGAAAAGAAAATATCATTAAGAAAATCATAAGGTATACAAAATATATTTACTATTCATTAAGTGGAAGTGGATTATCATAAAGGTCTTTGTCATTATTGTCTTCATGTTGAATGGACTGAGGAGGAAGAGGAAGAGGGCGGGTTAGTTCTGCAG